CGTCAAACAAATTGTGATCGATTCATTATAGGTTAAATTAGGTCGGTTAGGTTGGGTTAGGTTAGGTTAAAATTAGACTAGACTTGGACTAGACAGTTCAGGTATATGAAATGTATGTGATATATATCTTATCTCCATCCTTTCAACTAATTAAATTAATTGATTAGCACGTCACATAGTATGACAGCAATAATTTTATATGCTAAAAATAAGGTCTACCTTTTTACGTAGCGCTCTAAAGAAAACAGCACAAAAATATGTAATGTAATTCTATATTATTACAAAATAAATTTTAATTTACTTGAAACTATTTGAGATATAATGTGACTTATAAATCTAAACATGCTATCGATTGAGTTGAATTGATTCCGAATCGCAATCAAAGAATCTATAGTAAAAAGGACATTCGGTAATTTTTAGACACCTTGGATGTATGTGAGAGTCCATGGAAATTGAATAAGTTACAATTCCTTTATTTGTAATATTCTTTCATTTTTTTCTTTTGACATCTGTATTTGCATTTGGGCAGGAAAAAGCCGCGCCGATTGATCATTCTTGTTACAACTACAATACTTCACTGAAATATTAATCGAGTGACTAGGTGATAGGGAGCGTATATAGCCCCGTCCTGATACTTCCTATTATTTACAAAAAGGTCGACGAAAGAACAAAAATACCTTGTTATATAATTTACTATACCATACATTACAGACACGTTGGTGAATTCGATCTCGCGCGATGATATACGAAGGCGGTAAAAAGGCACTTTTGAAATCGACTTCAACACTGGCTGTCATGTTCAAGGATATATATGTCTCAAGGATAAAAGAAACTTTTTTCTCTAATACATCAATTAATATGCTTCTTTCTTTACGGATCGTATTCTACCAATTTGCTCTAAGTGGATTAAACTTCATTTTTTTGGAGAAACTACAGATGAAAATTAAATTTATTATTTCGAAGCTTTTGAGTACATAAACATTTTAATTGCACGAATAAAATGTGATACATGATTAGCGATACATGACAGCCAATGTGTGAAATGTATGAATCAAGTGAATTTTATTTAACAGTTTGCACTTTTTATTTAACACATTGCTATGTTAATATTAATAGTTTATCAAGTTTTTGTGTCTAGATTTATAAATAACTGGTATTCGCTTTAAACTGATAATTGACAACGTACAAATTGGAGTTAATAATATTTTGTGCAATTCTCAATTCAAATTTTATTCGAATCAAAATGCACCCAAAAAATTAACAACTTCAATTATCTATTAACTTTGCAAGAATAAAATTTGATCCCCTTGAGTTGCCTTCTTCTTTTTTCTCAGAATGTGACAAATAGATCATATTGGATTGTCGTAAATTACTTATAAATATAACAACATATCGTGTAGAATCGCTTTGGATGTTTGGTCAACGCGTATAAAACTGTATTGTAACTTTCTTTTCAGTTGTGATATTCCAAGGATTGTAAGTCGCGAGTGAATAAAACATCTCGTTAAATCGTGACGAGAAATTACGTCGGTTACGTCCTTAAAAATAATGCTAAGCATCGACGGATTTTCTATTTACATTCTAAAATACTAAAGCAAGGATCATAATCCTTCTGACTTTCGGTCATTCGCGAAACACTGCACATTACACTGTAGAATACGTGTATGTATATAGCACGAAGATAAAGGTCTTCGCCAACAAAAAAAATCTAAAATAATAATTATTTAATAATTTTAATACACATAATTTTAAAATAATTAAATAATTATTGCATAATTGCCATTATAAAATTGGTATAAATCAATTTGCAATAATTTTTGAATTCATCACAGTTTTCAATAATAATAATGAAATTTTAATCAAAATTCAATCATTTCCTTGCGCTTTTCTTAAAAACAAAAATAAAGTTAAAAAAAAATCAGATTTACATATAAAAGAAAAAAATTACATCTCAAGTTAAATAATAATTTCAACAGAATTTCTCGAATGATCGATCATCATTTTTCCGTCGATCTCTATAAATTAATTAATTAATAGCTGACGTGAGAAGCTCTTTTCATGGCATCACTACGCTCAACCCTTCAATCGATAGTTAACCCATTGTGTTGAGATCACATCTCTCAAAAATTCTATTGTTTATGAATCAAAATTGTTAAGCACACTTCAGGCACGACTGCTCGTAAGCCTCGTGATTTCATAACATTTTCAATAATTTCTAAATCTGTTTATAAAATAAATACTGAAATCAATGATTTATAATGATAATGTTGTATTTCCACAAGATTAAGCAGTCTGTTTAAAAAGATAAGTGAGACTACGCAGGAATGTAAGCAATGTTTAGTAGCGTTTTATGTCTCAGAATGTGTGTTGTTTTGAGAGATAGATATCATATTATTGAAAATTGTTAGAAATATTAACCAAACAAAAATTACTAATTTTATATACTTTACATTTGAAGTATTATATTTATCTTGGTTTTTTTTCTATTATCACAATTCTAACATAGCTTATAAAATATTAATATTATTACAATAAAAATCTCTTTATTTCACTATTTGTCAATTTCAAATAACTCTCATTTATTTTGCCAATAATTTTGCTAATAAATTTATCTCATTACTTAATCACTCAAAATTGTTTAATAGTTATTAATTATCACAGTGATTAAACATATAAAATTAAAGTTAGAGATAAATAAACAATTTTCAAAATTTTCCTTTTAAACAACCGTAATACTCCAAAAATGTTGCGCATTTGTTGAATATATATATCGGTTAAGCAGCAGTTGAAGGGTCAATACGAGCGTACAAGTAAAATATCACGTCAACGTTAGAATAATACGAGCTCAATATGAGCCGTCGTAATAGTTGAATAATCTTAAATTGGCCTATTTTGTTATTATTACGCTGAGGCGCCGCATTTCATTTCGACGGCGAGAGGACTCTGCCGTTCAGAGCCCCCTTCTGGCCTCTGAGGATTTTAGGAACACCGAAGTCCACACACATTCGTTGATAAAATTGTACATCTCGCGGACTTGGTCCAAGATCGCTACATTTTATTTATAAAGGTTTTTTACATCGATGGCCACAAAAATCAATTAAAAGAGCGAGCAAGCGGGCGATCGGCTTTGTTCGTGCAAGATAGATTGAGTTATTTATTCAAGGGAAAAAAAAAAAAAAAAAAAGATTTTTTTTTAAATATCAATAATGTAGCATCAAACCAAATAAAATCGACTTCTCGTCTACTGTTCTTAAAATTCGCTTTAAATAATCGTGAAATCGTATCGGGGATGCAAAGCGGACACTTGATTCACATTTGTTCTGAACGCTTTATACATATATATATAATTATATAATTGAATAAAGAACGGATTGTGGTTGGTTTACTCGTGTTGTTTCGTCGGAAGAAGCGATAGCAACGCACGCGGCACATACAACAATCGCAAGTCTTCCCCCATCCATTATACGACTAGTTTGCACTTGAATAGGAAAATGTATAAGCTATTCTGTTCTTAATAAATAATACTAAAAGTTTTTTTTTTCTTTTTTTTCCAAATTTCTCTGCGAGACCGCGACCTGTGATTCGTCCTGTGCGAATCAAGGCTTCGATCGGCGCGAATCAAACGTGAATCGAAGATTTTCCAAGTCCCGGAATGCGCCCGGACAAAATCGCACACGCTGCTCGTATCTGCTCCAATCGACGCGCTAATACTAAAACTACCTCAAGTACGGCTATCTGCCAGCTAAACTAATCGCGCAGAAAAACGTACAACGCAAAAAAGCTACGAGGTAACTCGTTTTGTCGCATCCATGTGTCGCGATTTTTTTTTTTTTTTCTCTCTCGCGGTATCAGTCTCATGAGACAGACGCTCGTGGAATAAAAGAAGGCACTTGGTTGCATCCTCTTCAGGCACTTTCTGATATGTCGGTTGTCGCCGAATCGCCCACCGAACTTGCACGCGCCGTTTTCCTTCCCTCCCCCCCGCAAAAACTTCCTTTCCAAGACTTCGCCCAAATTTTGCCGCACCTTTTTCGCAACCATTTCTACGCTATTGTCATTGCGACTTCTCGACTAGAGCCTCTGTTTGCTTTTTATCGATCCCCCTTGTGCCTTTGATCGATGATTCTTTCGGTGATCCCCTTTTCGGGCTTCGACACTCCGCTCTCAGAACAGACTTGCGGCCGTCAATAAACATAGATGGATTTCAGCTGATCCTTCAATTCGGGAGGAATGGCACAAGTGTCCGACTCGGCTTTTCGCTTCACCAGCCGACGCCAGCGTCCACCGAGGTTCTTGCGGAAGCCTTTCGCGAACCCAGACCGATCCGACGGCAAACCGTGTACAAGGGTATCCTGCAAAAAGACCGCAGAGAGATCCTTATTTTCAAATTCGCTCCATTAACGCATTATTATGCAGATTCAATTTACATTAAGTGTGTCGTGTTATTTACGTCAAAGTGTATTTTTTTTTCTTGCGATTTGTTTTTCAAATGCATCAAAATTCGAGTCAGAGTGAATATTAAAATTTAAGATCGGAATATGATTTCCTGATCTATTTGCGTGATCGTCGAGGCGCAGTTTGGCCAAGGTTCTTTCTTTTATATTGTCGACAAAATTCATATGACTTTTCGTCACTTTAACGGTTACAATTTATTTTGTTGACGGTCAAATCGCGCGCGCGCGGCAACTCTAAGAGTCCTGCCAATATCGCAAACGTAGGAATGGTATTTCGTGAACACCTCGACAGCTGCACCCTATTCGAGACCTGGCTGGTAAACGGCAGTAGGTAGACGCCCACCGACAACGCTAAATTTAGCGTCAGGCCGCAGAAGCGTCGAGAGCTGCACCCATTTCGTGTCCTGGGGTATATTTATACACATTCTCCGTCCCTTTATTATATCTTACGGAGTAATTTTAATCGCGCCCGAGAGTAAAGTTCAGTTATCGTAACGTTACGAATTTCTCTCTCCTTGTGAAAAGCCTTTTATAATTAATTATTAATAAATTTCGTGTTTAACAGCACGTGGCAGTATAATGAAATTAATTTTCTCAATTCAAAATAACACAATTGTGCAAAAGACACGTGATTCCAATTAATAGTTCGCCATAAAATGATGGGTATATTTGAAGCACACTAAATAAAGACTCTTCTAACTCGTTTCCGGGTTTCTAAATCAAGAAAATGGGATATGTAATTGTCGACTCCGTATGAGTTTTCCCCTCGTGGAATCGATAAATTGCGCCGCGGTCCAATTACAATGAAGGACAAGCTAAATCCCAATGTACCGTCATATTTTACGTAACGTCGAACGGATTGTAAAAAGAGCAATGTTATGTCCATTCGTCGCGATCGAATCGGCCGTTTCTGCACGTTAGGTTGGGACGGTAAAAAGCGTACTGCAATTGTAGCCAATCGACGATTGCGGTTTGTCCGTCGTGAACAATCGATCGTCTACGAAGTAGTGTAAAACCGCGATGGCCGCAGGTCACTGTCCCGACTATCGATTGGCGAACGAACGTCTTATTGTTTTCCGCGTCTTCTAAAGAATACAGCGAAAAAGGCGAAGATCCGTGGCTGGAGACTACTATATTTTTCGACCAACTTGTTGATTTTTTCCTTCACGAAAGTTTTCATTCAACTTCAAAAATACAGAAATGCAGTGATAGAACTTGAGATTTTACCGACTAGTCTCTGCCGAAGTTATATTTTTTTGCATTGGAAAAATATATCAAGATTACTGAAATGTTTAATATTGAAGTTTCGGACATCATCGTTAAAAAAAGTGGAGGAAACATGGAAAAAGTAAGACTCATTGTTATCATAAAGAAATCATCCCTGCGGAATCGCGACCATCGTTTTTCTGTCTGCGAATCTTTTTCGGGTGTCCAGTCGATGCCTGTCCTCGAGTCATTGGACAGCGTAGGGGCAAACCAGTAAAATCTGGTAATACTGGCTCCACCGGTTAGTCGATTAACCGTTGCGACGGTTAGATCGACCGATAGATCGCGAGAACAGGCGGTCAACGATTGCTTCTATCCGCGCAATCCACTTCGATTGATTTCCTAGTCTTCGATCAGCAATTGGCGATTTGAAAGGTCTCTTTTTAAAGTTAAACGCTATAAAACTATGTTAATATATTTTTTTATGGGCCTGACATTTATCAACGACACGAAAGAATGTCTTTTCCAATTTCTGGTTTTGTAGAATAGCAAATTGAGTTGGTTACACTGGAGCGCATTGGTGTACATTGAAGTATCGTACACGACTAACATAAAACACGTATAAGTGAAATGATTAGTATAACTTGCGATTTTACTACAATTGCTTTTAATAGAATAATCCTCGGTGTTTCAGTGTTTCGTTTTCACTTCAATATTAAATGAAGATTGATCCGCGCCAGTGCGCGCTAGTGGAATCAATCCGATTTGCCGGATAAGATACGAAATATATACAGAAGTGCAACCCACCTGATCGTTGTACAACGCGTACTGCGCCGGAAGCATGTGGCGGGGCGGGTACGGGGGTGGAAATTGCCACGTGAACGATTCGACGGGATTGGCGGTTGGCGTCATCATCGTCGTCGTCGTCGTCGTTGTCGTCGTCGTCACGGCATAGATGTGCTGCTCATCGCAAATGTTGTTACCGCCGACGTCGGTCGACAAGGTGGTCGTCGATATCTGCGTGCAACAATCGCTGGGATGCGTCGGCGACGACATCCCGACCGTCGCAGGCGACGTCGCCGTCTGCACTACCGTCGTCTCCGGGTGCACCGTGCTCGAATGATGCTCCTCGCGCTTCCGCAGCTTGCTGCGGACAAGGCGAATCGCGATCATGGTTCCGTTGCTGCCGACCATCTTTCTATGCTTATAGTACAGCCTCGTGAATGTTTTTTTTTTACCTATGTCGTCGCAAACGCGGTCCCGAAACTCTGTCGACGCCTGGATACGCGATCTTCGAACACGCCAGACTACACAGTAATTCTCAACAGTTCGTAGCAATATTGTTACGCGCGGTTTCAAAGTCTGTTGCTGGAAAGGAATAAAAAGTCACGCGGGATTCTGAGGAATCCGACTTTCGGGAAAAATTAAAGCTTCTAAGGCACCGAAGTTGCAGAGCTCCGATATTCCGAGAATTCAGAGTTACATCAATGGACGGTTCATGCAGAGTGTAGCGATGTACGTTCTCTATTCAGATTTAAATCAAGGTTCTCAACGCTTCGGGTTTTCCTTGAACGACTCGGCAAATTTAAAGAACGAGGAAAAACAACCGTAGATGCTTCCTCTCTCAGTCTATGTCTCTCTTTTCTCTTTCTTTCTCTCTCTTTCTCACACTTTTACGTTCGCGCCGCGCGGTGCTGCCGTCGTGAAATCAGCTGTCTCTTTTCACACCGCAGCAAACGATCCTCCTCTTTTGATATTCTTTTATTCCCTTCAACGTGTTTCCC